TTAAGAAAATTAACGAGCGTTATCACGTACAAATTTGCGATTTATATATATTATAGCGCCTGTGGTCGATCTCACGTGTAATTCTGCCAACGTGAAAATCATCCCCGAAACGAATGATGGATCGATTCCTCGGATTTCTTATCTAGCGCCAGATTACATTTATTTGCACGTTTACCGCAATTTTTGTTTTCGCCGCGTCTGAAACGCGAACTGCACGATCTGACGCTCCCATATTACGATTACGTCCGGCACTTGCGATTTTCATTATTTGCACGTTTCGTGTGACAACAAATAACATTCTTACATAACGCACTCAGAAAAAATTAGCAATATCTTGCTCCTCGGTGGAATAATATTTACGTATGTTAACAACGCTCGCCCGGACGATTGCGGCTCGAAATAATCTGCGGCCCGTAGTGTCGCGTGTTTTCCGCCGCGCGGTTTTATCTCGATCATTGACACATCCTCCGTAGAAAGAGAGAAAGAGAGAGAAATCGCATTTATACATCGGCAGATAATGAATTTCGTTGTGTAACGCCGGGTTTAATTGCTCGTTAAAGCTCATCTGACTTTGTGTGTGCACGCGCACGTGTCGCCCTCTCCGAAAAGCAGAACACGAGCGTTAATTCGACAACAGACTTCTATCATGCTGTAACACAGATAATTGGAAGGAAAAAATACGAGGCCGGCGATAGGTGTGCGTTCGCTGCCGCCGGTCCGCGATTCGGCTTTCTACGAAAAGGTACGCTAATTAAATCATTACGGTTAATGGCCGACAACAAGCAGCGACAACGACGACGATGATCTCTCGATGTACGTAGGCGGATTTGGCATTTAAACGAGCCCGGCATTTAAATAACGCGATCAAAGCGCGCCGCCGCAATATGGGAATATTAGATGGATCGCGATCACACACTCCCAGCCATCGTCGTTTGTTATTTGTTATTTTCAGTAACAAAAGCGGATATATATATATATATATATATATATATATATATATTCACTGAAATATCATTTATGGTGGGAGTGAATAAATTGCAATAGTTGAAACATCAATTTAAAAGAATGGCGTGACATTGTTATATTATTACACTAATATCACTTTCAATATAAAATAATTATTGTATTTTTGGAAACATTTTTACAATGTAACTAATATTTTGACAGACAGCTTGCAACTGCTGCGTACAATCCACCGCATACCGGTAGTTGCAGGGAAACGGATAATTTATATCCAAGTTGTATAACATTTCACACATAGCAATGTAACTGTTATATAATCTTTTAGTAATTAATGTAACGGTCATAAAACATTTTAACAACGCGTCACATTTTTATGTTATACATCGGCAATTTCGTATGAGTGGGAAATTACAAACACGTGTGTTGCTTGCAACATCTATGTTATATTACGCGTTACATCTCATATTGCGATGATGTAACTGTTATATACAACTGTCTTTGTTGGGATGTGTAATAAATAGGCGATCGTAATAATAAACACACGAGAACCGGGATAAACATGTGAAAGGCATACAGATAGCCTGGAAGAATCTCAGTGTATTAAATCTTTTCTTTTCTATTCCATGGATCTGTGGGTCGTTGGATCCGCGTGATATCGACGCGGGTATATCAGTGACGCGTGAAATGCGTGTCCACGTATCGCCGGCTCAAGTGTGTTGATACGTTAGATGATACTTGAAATAGAATTAATCTACAAAATTTGTGTACTCCTTCTTCGTCGCGCACTCACGTTGATACCACGCGTTATCACAACGGCGGTTTTCATATTGAGTCAGTCGGGCGATTTTTCGCGTATAATGTTGACTTGGTGACTTCACTCTGTAAATCACAGTGAATAAAATTATCATTTATCAAGTATAATCTGTGAGAAAATATAACCCGGGTGACATCAACGTTAATTCGTTACAAAACACATGATGCAACAATCGCGCGGTATTATTAACGGTGTATCGGAAATCTTGAAGTCCGCGTCCGGGATTTATTTTAATTACATGTCACCGGCTTTTCAGGGGATAACGCACGATTGTGCGTGCTTTGATCGGGACGTTTATCGGGACGCACGAACTCATAGCTTAAATAATGTAATTTGCAATATAACGCGGCTTATAATTCCAATTAAACGCTGGATTTTAATTAAACGCCAGATAACCAATGGGACGCGCTAATTATGAAATATCGACGAGGAACTTACTTGTTTCACATGTTTAATAGATTAAGCGTGAAGATGATTCGTGGGGAACGTGCGATTAGAAATTAACGTGGCATGTCGTGAAATCCAGAGATCCAACCGTCACGCGAGGAGTTTACAATATGAACCGGTCTTTATTTTTCAAATCAATCGTGCCAAGATCTTGACCTGCCGCTCGATCGAACTGAGCTCTGTCGACCCGATATCGAAGTCGTGAATGGAAATAATAAGGCGTCCATCAAAAACGTATGATTACCGTGTTTGAAAAACACGTTAATCGATAACATAGGAAATGGAATTGGGACGCATACTGAAGTAGCAGCGATATCACTAATACAATCAAAGCGCGCGCTCCTCAAGCGTGAATATGCTGTCATGCCGGATGCGTCCAATGTCTCGTACTTGCTTTCGATTAAAATTTTATTCAGAGCCTCGAGATAACCTTTTATCTAATTATCGCTGACGAAAGCCGACTTAAAATAGCACGGTGCATCGATTATCGAACGCAATTTTGTTGTTTGATTAACAGCAAAAGAGACCGGGACTTATTTCACATACTTGTCATACTTTTTGCCTGCTGATTAGAAAGAAAAAAAAAGATGTCTGCAATGTTTTATAATATCATGTATATCTTAAGTGTTTGGTAAAAAAATATTAGTCTTCATGTGTATTTATACAAAAAAGTTTGGATCGACCTTTCGAGCCACGGGCAATAAAGAAGAAAAAAAATATGCTTCATTGTTTATCAAGTGATATATAAATTTCGTGACGCAACTATATAATTGTTTTTAGCACTTCTGCAACAATTTCGTTGCATCGAAGTCAAGTTGAGATATATATAGGACACAGGAATTTTTTTCTAACGCGGAAAGTGGCCGCACTATGTATAGTGCGTACGAACGTCTGTTTACGAAGTGGGTAGTAAAATCTACCCGGCGATACAGTAGCTCTCGTGCGCGCGCGATAAGATCTGACGTTATCTGACTTTCTCGAAGCACACTGGTCGCAGGGAATATAAGCAGGCAGCGGTAATGACTGGCGACTAATTGCGCGATTAAAATTCAAGCACGTACCATTCATTTCTGGAAAATATTCCAACGCGAGAGATTCCTCGTGGTGAGTTCCCTGAGTTTAATTAAAAACACAGTTGTAAGTGCGTGTGTGCGTGCGTGTCGTAGTTCTACGGAGAAACCTCGAACGAGTAAAAGTGAAGTTTATATACGAGGCGTTATTTCTATATAGATTTTTTCTATCGTCGGCCGATTTCACGCGAGATAAATAATCACGCCGCAATGAGTATCGTTCTAATTAAGCGCCATAAATAATGAATGACGGTATCACAAAGAAGCGATAAGATAAAACTAATGATACGTTTAGAAATGTGTGTATTTCCTGTGAATAACAATAACCCTCTCGCGAACGGGGTGAACTGAGAGTTGCCGACAATCGCGATATGATTCAAAGAGCCGCCAATTTTGATCAAGGACGCGCCGATTTGGCGAATATTTAATATGTAACGATAATTAAATGTAATATTTTGTAATTATTGCTAACAAGGCCGCGACTGTATTTGCGGAAGTGCCTTAATTTCCCGTCGATCTGCGCCTGTGCATAAACAATACCATCCACTTCGATACGTTATCTTAAAATTTAAAGTAATTAATTAAAATTTAAATTTATATTCTTTTATATTCACGCGTGACACTTTCAGCGTTCGTAGCAGCTACTGCGAATCAAGTGTTCGCAAATTCTCACTTCCTAAGATTTCGGTTTTACATATGCTCGACCCGCAGGGTCCTCCTAAAACCTCGCGGGTGCTCTCGAGGTGCCGGGAGGAACAAAGGTGCAATTAACTAATGCAAAAATGATATATCGCGAGCGACTGCTGCGGACGAGAAAGGAGGCTAGAAGGGGCCGGGCCGGCAGACGAAAAAATTCGGAATATTTATGCCCGGTATTATTAGCGTACGTCGGCGATATCTCGGTGGGCATCGCTAATTAGCCCGCGCGAACGGCCGCGGGTCTTTCGGCAAACAGTGCTGGCTACTGTCTTTAAAGGTTCTTCCCCGGTCGCAATCAAGATGGTGGCGCCAACCACCCGGCGAGGCTGATTCCGAAACTAATTGCCACGGCTAATTTATCCCAACGACATATACGCACAGAGACGCCATTCTCGGATACCGCGTAATCGCGCTCGCGTAATCGCCGTCGTACGCCGGCCGACAATCCCCACGGGGGGGATCGCGTAGGTAGCTCAAACTTAGACGTTCTGCCGGCTGGCTGGCACGGCCATTGTGCCGTGGTAAATTATTATTTGCAGCTGGGAAAACGGCGTGACGGATAGTTTCCGTCACACAATTACACGCGCGATGTTTCGCCGCCGGTTTTCCCGTCGACGGAGCTCTTCAACGGGGCTCCAATGGGAGGTCTGATTATGTGATTTCTTGCGAAACCATCGGTCGAGAAAATAAAGTGCATTTAAATTTCAAAGGTTTAATATCATATATATATATATGTGTGTGTGTTCAACGAATTTTAATTTTTAATTATTTTTGTTGAAATTTTTTGGAATTACTGGAATTTCTGTTAACGAAAGATTTACCTCAAGATTGCAGAGGGATTGTCATTGAGAGAATAATATTGAAATGTTCTAAGCATAAAATGTAAATCGATTTTCGAACCGATTGATCTACATCTCGTGAAGTCCAGGTTACGATTTGTTACATTCGATATCGAGGCGAGAAGAGGAAATGTTAGGCAACGAGGAAGCAAAATAAATTTCCGCTAATTACGACAATACAATTTATTAAATAAACTCTTCTAATCGTATCGCACGATTGCTCTTTACATTTATACAAAACTGGAAAAAGAACCATCTCTCCGATCTCTCTGGTCAAGATTCACTGGTCTTATTATTTACGCTCTGAACGTAAATCCGACGCCATTCTCTCCTAATAGTCCACTAAGCGTTTATATACAAAAAAACGATCAGCGGCGATTCGCTGATATTTGCAATATTTACAACAACTCTCGGCCCATCTTAGTCGCCGTCGACATCAGCACGGAACTACGTCGCATTGTCTTTCCATCGGGCGCGGAAAACATTTCTCACTTCCTAATACTGGAGCACGTAAAGTCAGCAACGAGATCCCTCTCCGTGAGATCATTTCGGCGTGGTTGCGGCAACGATCATCGCGATCTCCCGATTTCCGAGTCCGTTTTTGCACAGTCCGGAGGTGATTTCTCGCGTTACGATTCGATGACAGATCATCGTTCCAACTGTTCCCAAGAGCATCGCCGCCGGTTCCGCCCTTTGTTACTCTCATTCTCTCGCGGGATGCTGGGCGATCGCGTGATGAGGTGTCAAACTGGGATGAGAAAGCATTCCTACGGGATAAAGACCGGCGGGCGTCAAGATTCCCGGATGCGAGCCGTAGAGCGCGGTGTGGTGCTGCCTAACGGCCGACATTCTCAGTTTTTCGATTTCCGCTTCTTGCAAACGTTTCGCCTTGGCGCGCCGGTTCTGAAACCAAATCTTCACCTGCAACGATAAATCATTTCGAATTTACAGCAAGGTAATATTTAGCAACGTAATGAGCTTCGCGTTCGCGCTGGCTAATGCGACATACGGTTTCTCGGCGTTGCCGAGTGCGTGGTTTCATGATTATTCGGTGTGTTAGTAATGACGTCGAGAATCGCTTTTTGTGCCTGTCGCTAACTTTTGTAACCCAGCCGTTGCATATCAATTATGATAGAATAGTTGACGTTGTCTATTCTAAAATATAACATTTAGCTATTTTATGTCCGCCACTAGCATCTAAAGACGAGGTGACAAATCAAAATTGATGGTTATTCCAGAAAAATCCTAAAAAAAATAGAAACAAACGTCGTATCACCGTTTGACAACTCATACGGATTTTCATCTTGTAAATGTAATTTCTTTTATTTAGCTACAGAGCTAATTTATTTATTAGTAGGTAAAATAGTTCTCAACAGTTTTGTTTTTTCTATTAAATCAAAAGAAGGAGGGGAAAAGAAACGCAGGGAAGCATTTAGTCCCAAAACTGAAGTTGGCCAGGATTCGAAAGATTTATTACAGACTCGAAAAATAATATCGCCACTGATTATAACGATGTTAATATCCATCAGAGCGAGATTTCTTCTTAGCGTTAACTCGAAGCGCCCTCGGAAATAAATTGCACGCAGTTTTACGACATATAATATCGCGAATCTCACTCGTCCGTCCGCCCGTCCGTCAGAATTTTTGCTGCTCGAGTACCCGGCATCTGCGCGTTCAAAGTGAACCGTCGACAGGTTCCGGAATTTGAACGTCACTTTTAAGGTGTAATTCCGGGCAGATTGTCGCCGGACGACGATCGATATCGCGATAATGATCGCCCACAGGGCATGATAAATAATCCGAGATATCGACCGGGTCGTCTGTAGCTGTAACCAAACCGTGTAACTATCGCCGCTAAAATTTCATCGGCCTCTATCTTAGTCGAACGATCGATGCGCCGCTGTCGTCCGGAAACGATTTCACGGAAACGAGGGCCGCGTAAACTCTCGATCGCCGTCTCGATCCTTCGTTCCTTCGCCCGTTCCCTCACGCGCAAAATGCGTTGCGGAAATCGCCCGATGCCAGAGTTTCGGGATCTCAGCCGGAGATAATTGCCGGCCGTGCTATCGCGGAACGCGTTTCGGCCAATTTGTAATCTATTAATAAAATTACCGTTCTCTCCTTGCCTCGTAGTAGTGTGCCGGCTCGGATGGCGCGTATTTATGTGCGCTAATTACCACGCATCTGGCGATGGCCGCGCTGTCCAGCTATAACTAAATCTCGGGAGACACGCACCGACCGTTTAGACGTCGTGTGAATAGCACCCGGCTTCGGGAAAAAATAAAAGTGACGAAAGATACGCGAGGGACGAGCCCCTCCCCCCCTCCCCCTCTTCCCGGTTCGGCCGTCACCGGTTTACAATTCTAGCGGGGACGCGAGATCGACTGCCATACTGCCTGTCTCTTTTTTTCTCAGGGAAATTACTAAATTCTAACGGTAGGCCGAATGCTAATGCGCCGATTCGACTGGATAACGAGCGGAGGATTTATAGTCCTCGATAAAACATATGAAAGCCGGAACTTTTAGTTTTGAGAAAGTATCTTTTCATCGGGAACCCTTGCGAGCGAGTTGAATTAAGAAGTTAATTGGAGGAGCCGAGGTTAGCGCAGAATCGCGAAGCGACGGCTCTCGTAATGAAGATTCGAGAAATCGGCGGAATCGATCAATTAGTGTAATAAGCGGGCCGTCTCCCCTCCTCCTGGTCTTCATCTCATGCATATTTATATTCATATGGAACCCTGTGAGATGTCGTCGGCGCGTCGTGTGAATACGCTGGTCAAGGTTAATCGGACGCGCGAGCGCGACATCGAGTCGCAAAGAACCCGGCGCATTTAGGCCGCGCTTCGATATTCACCGTCAGTTCACTGAAAATCTACAGTCTATACGTGACACAAACGATATAGATCTTTAGTACCGGCAGTGAACTTCGGTACACACCTGTATCCGCGTTCAGCGGGAAGAGCGAATCCGGATCTACGATAAGCGTATAGTAGCCCTTTAGTTTGTTGCTCTAAGCGTTAAAATGTGATATAATTTCTAGTAAAAGGCGTTTACAGCGTTATCAGATGTAATAATTCCTAAGTTTTAGCGTTGTTACAACCTTTCAGCAGCGTGCGAAACGACTTTTGTTAGATATTACGTTATATTTTATTGTTCAGAGCAAAAAGCCGGAGGCTTGCCACATCTATTACGCTGAGAGAAAAAAATTGTTGGAGCAACTGTAAACTCTACTATAATTTATAGTCAATCTCGACATTAATTATACGGTTTACGGTTCTTTTAAAATATAACGAAGTGAATCGATATTTATAGTTATGGCAACTCTATAACGTTCATTCATTCATGTATTTTATAGTTGTCATCAATTAAATTGGAAGCGAATTGTACTATAAAATATAGTTACGACAAATTACCATACGTATTCCTGAATAGAAATTTATTATTACTTTTTAACTATTTGCCACCTTATTATAATTGTATTGAGAATCACTTCAAATCATTACGATGATTGGACAAAATTACTTAAATCTAATTAAATTTGCATATCTAATTAATAATCAATTAATAATGTAATTAAATGTATATATTAAATTCGATTTCATTATTAAAATCATTATAATGATTTGCTACGAAATTTACACGGGTTGATCGCGTCACGCCTATATCGCGATTATAACCCATATCGTAGCAAGGTATTTATGGCTTTCTTGACTATCGTTTCTCGACTACATCATCATAGAGTCTCAAACATCATGGATTTTTCTCTCAGTGTACAGATCCGGACTAACGGCAGGGTAAGCTCGGGGAGAGGCCGATGTTTACCTGGGTCTCCGTGAGGCTCAGCGACGACGAGAACTCCGCCCTCTCGGCGACGCTCAAGTACTGTCTCTCCCGGAACTTCTTCTCGAGAGCCAGTAACTGATTGGTCGTGAAGGGCGTCCTGGGTTTTCGGTTGGGCTTGTGCTTCCTCAGGTTGCACTTGATCTTGGCCGGCTCGCCGTTCTCTGGAAACGGAAAAAAGAACGAGCGCGCCTCAGTCTCAGTCAGGAGTGCATGTCGCGAGGGGGAACAGCGAGACGAACATTACTCTCGTATGTACAAACTGACGGACAGATAGTCCTACCCGCGAGAAGGTGGGTTCCGCGGGGATCGGGCAGGCCAGCCACGGAAAGGGCCGCCGAGACCGCAACGTCCCGGTTTTTGCCGGCCCGGATGGAACAGGCCCGGCGAAGGCGAACGCATCTTTTTAGGGCGCAATTCATAATTTTTCCGTCGGAACGGCGCCGCAAACTGGCCTCATTACTTTTTTGCCGGTCGACCGCAAAATTCCGGCCGCGAATTGTTTCTACACGGCCCCGCGCGGCTACCGCGCTCGCATAAGAGCGCCGATCGTAACGCCTGCGCTCGCTCTCGCGCGAAGGGGAAGGCGTCGCCGCGGACCAGGTGTATTCTTCGCTCGTCGTTTGGAAAAAGGCGCACCGCGCGGCCTCGGTTAATTGCGCGCGCCGAGGAATACGGCGGTTAGCGTGGCGTTATTTTGTTAGCCGCCACCGCGTTGTCGTCGTGGTCGTCGCAGCGGCAGGCGGTTGTAGTCTTCATCGCATCGTCTTCTCCTCGCAGAGCCGAGCTAATTCCTTCAGGTAGATCCGAATTTTATTAGTGGCAATTTGTTGCCTGTAAAGTAACGACGTCCTAAACTGCGCGAAGAGGTGCGAAAAGTTACGAGGTTTCACGTGCGATCACGGAGGTCCGCGGGCGCGATTCGTGTGTCGGCGGGAGAATTTTTATACTTTAACTCTTACATGCGATCTCCGTTGGCAAATGGAAACCTGAAAAGTGCACGGAAGAATACCCTGCATTCCCGCAACGGTATATGGCGTTTGCTGCTTGCTCGTCGATCAAATGTAAAACAGTTACACGGAAAAAATGCCGTTGAATCGATCGAATTTCCAACGGCACGTGTGATCTGAGTAAATTTCATTCAATAGAGATATCGTTGAAACTAATACCTGAGTTGTTGAAATAATGTATGATGCATTAATGTATTAGTTTCAGTAATATCTCCATTGGATCAAGAAGATTTACGCGCGTTGTTGGAAATTCTATGGATTCTCTTGACTCGACAGCACATTTGTTCGTCCGTGCGCGGAGAAAAATAATTGTATGTATTATATTAATAAAAATATATACAGTGTTTTACGAGCACCGTCCAATCTCTCGAGAGTTGATTTTTGAACTCATTTTATAAAAAACAATTTATACGAACCATACTATTACGTACCATTACGTAATTTATACGAACCATACTATTACGAGTGTTTGATAAGTCAGTGACTTTGATAAGAAATGGCGCTCAGACCGCATGTTTGATATTATCTGTGACATTTGCTATTCTTTATAGGCATTTGTAGGATTTGTACACACACACACACACACACACAAAGGTTTCAAGTACATCTGTTAAATAGTAAATTTTTAACAGCGCCCGAAAGTGGATAAATTTGTGTCGTTTTGCTACAATGGGAGAAAGTGAATTCCGTGTATCGAAGGCCAAATTGGTCGAATTGCGCTACAAACTGCTCCTTCGTCCACCCTATTCTCCAAATTTGGCCCCCTGCGATTTCTTTCTCTTTCGTATTCTCTGTCGTATTTTTTGGAAGGTTTAAAGAAGTTGGAATATCGCTAGGCAGAATGTATCGAGTTAAAAGGAGACTATGTTGAAAAATAAGTCGCATTTTGGTGAAAAGAAAAAAAAAAGTATCATTTCGAAGTCACCGACTTATCAAATACCCCTCGTAAGTATCAACTTTCCTTCGTAAAGTAACTTAAAGAATCAGCTTCTAAAATATTAAACAGAACTTAAGAGACCACCCTGTATATTCATTTATTTGCTACGACGGCATAAAAAATTTGCCGTCCCTCGAAATTATTTCGTCTCCGTGCGCGTGTCGCGTTCTTTATTTAATATTCCGTAACATATGCAGCCGAGAGAAAGTAGAGGAAGTGGTTTAAGCGTGCGAATGTATAAACGCGCTTTAAATATGTCCGAAAGTTTGCCGCAGAGAACGTTGCTTGCGCTTCCACGACACGTCCGGGACAATCGAGAACGTGTCGAGCCACCGGGAGGCGGGAAGGAATACAGGGAGCCCGGGTGTATCGGAATATATCGGTTATATTCCTCGAGATTTGTCTCGAGACAATTGACAGATTTGTAGAGCGGAGGCGAACAGCTTCTGTAGCGAACCAGCGAGCGGAGATCCCGGCGAGAGACAAAAGGCCACGGCCGTCGTCTTGGCGGAGAGTCGCCGAGTTCTGAATTTCAAATTCGTCGTCGGAATCGCCCTTCACTCATCTTCCGTCGCCCTACCCCCTCCGCTCCGCCCCTCTCACCACCGTCACGTCGCCAGGATTCTCTACGCATCAACCAAGGGACTTACAACACACGGCAGTATGCGCCACGCTCGATCCTCGATTGGGAATTGTCCTTTGTATACGTACTCCTCACCGCTCGCTAAGGGTTCCAATTAGTCTCGGCATCCGGTGATCTCCCCGCGTCGTCGTAGGGTTACCAAAAAGTCGCGGGATCCGATTTCAACCCGGCCAACGGGACCACCGATCGGGGACGCGCATCCGAAATAATTAGCTGATTTCGCCGAGATAGCGTGTTTCATGAATACAACTATCATCGGGGCACAGCGCGAGAACCGGGGAACGGCCGGTCGGGTGTCCTTTGTTACGTTACAACGACGATCGCGCAGATCCGACGCGATTTCACCGCCTAATTTTGTCGTTCAGTCCACTCGAGCAATTCGGAGGCATCCGTTCAGACGATTTTTCAGCTTTGCGCTTATTTCGCGCGCGCCGAATCTGAGAAATCTGTCAGCTCCTTCCGGTTGTTCCGCGTTGCATCGGGAGTTGCGTCGGAATACCGGTTAAAGACGAAACTTGGCGCGCCTCACGACACTTGTATCACTTTCACGGTGAATTCTTTTATGGCGCGGGATCACTTATTTAAGATAATCACGGTGAAGGAACGGCGGCGTAAAACTTTGAAGGGGTGCGCCGATCTGTGAAAGTACCCTCCACGAGAGTTCATATTTCAGAATTATGGCATTTCGCCCGGGCATGCCGCGTATATTCCAACCCGGGATCTCGTCTGGGGATTTTTCACGCTTACAACGTAGCGAACGTGTAAGGCTATCTCCATTCCCGGAGCAAAACCTTGCTCTTGTTTACGTATCTCCCGGTTGTCATGATCCATTCAATCATTAACTGAACTAAACTGCCACCGACAGTGACGTTCCATTCCAACATATTTCTCTCAAACTCCTCGAGATTTTCGAAACAGAGAGTTCGCGATTACACACACATTTATGCGTGAATTGATTCACGCAAAGAATCGAACGAGGGAAATTTACACTCGCGGTTGGCGTCGCGTTACAGAAGTAATTGCAAATTAAAGGGAATTTATTCCAGAACGAAATATGTTTTTGAAAGGCTCGCTCGCGAATTTGGCAATGAAAATAGTTGAATATCCGAGGACCGGCGAATAGGTTTTCTTTTTTTATCGCGTTAGAATATCAAGTACGCAATATTGTATCGACGTTTTGTTATCTCTTGCGTAAGAGAATCGTTGATCAAACGAGAACACATGGGAATCGTTCGTTGCGGTCGAGCGACGGTAGGCTATCGTTCAGCAGCGGCCGGAGCGGGGCCGTTAGAAAATCAATTTTCGTTCGTCGATTGCACGATTTGTCTCGGGACACTTTCCCTCCCCGATAATCGCCCATTGTTTTCATCGGGAAATCCATGAGCGAGAAGCAATTAAGTACACCCGCGTCTCCCCCCCCCCCCCCC